TTTGGAAGTAGAAAAATTTAAATGGTATTTTCTTACTTCTTCTTAATGGTATGTTTTAATTTTCTTAGTAAAACATACTCCAAAAAATCTTTATTTACAGCTTTGAAAACACAAACGACTTCATGTTTGAGGCACTGAATCATTTACTCGACTGATTTGTTCAAATCATCCAGTAACGTCACTACTATTATTTATTTAATTTAATTTTAGTTACTTGGTTACTTTTTTGGTTGTTTTTCTTTCGGCTTTGCATTAAGGTTTGGCTAAACTGGAAAAAAAAAAAAAAATTTGTAGAAATAATTTTCACTCAGAAATTGTTAGTAAATTTCACAAACATTTACAAAGAAACAGCAATTAACACAATTACTAAAGTAGAAAAACTGACATGTTTTCTTGTAAAACATGCTACAATAATCATTATTTACAACTTTGAAATTTTATTTTTTTAAAGTGTGAATGGGAGGTATGGGTTAAACTGGGATGGTTTATTATTAGACTTTTCTCCCAATTTTTCCTTGGGGCGTTTAGTCAAGAAAGCAACGTAATGACTTTAGAGAAGCGTTCCTGTAAGTAGTTGACACTGTGAAACACACAATGTGCTCAGAAACGTTTTTCACTCAGAAATTGCTAGTAAGAAACAGCAAATAACACACTGAATGAATCATAAATTTGGAAGTAGAAAAATTTAAATGGTATTTTCTTACTTCTTCTTAATGGTATGTTTTAATTTTCTTAGTAAAACATACTCCAAAAAATCTTTATTTACAGCTTTGAAAACACAAACGACTTCATGTTTGAGGCACTGAATCATTTACTCGACTGATTTGTTCAAATCATCCAGTAACGTCACTACTATTATTTATTTAATTTAATTTTAGTTACTTGGTTACTTTTTTGGTTGTTTTTCTTTCGGCTTTGCATTAAGGTTTGGCTAAACTGGAAAAAAAAAAAAAAATTTGTAGAAATAATTTTCACTCAGAAATTGTTAGTAAATTTCACAAACATTTACAAAGAAACAGCAATTAACACAATTACTAAAGTAGAAAAACTGACATGTTTTCTTGTAAAACATGCTACAATAATCATTATTTACAACTTTGAAATTTTATTTTTTTAAAGTGTGAATGGGAGGTATGGGTTAAACTGGGATGGTTTATTATTAGACTTTTCTCCCAATTTTTCCTTGGGGCGTTTAGTCAAGAAAGCAACGTAATGACTTTAGAGAAGCGTTCCTGTAAGTAGTTGACACTGTGAAACACACAATGTGCTGCCGTAGCACAGTGCATTAGGCTCTTTGGAGAGTCATTACAGTATTAGCTACAGAGTTTGCCCTGGCCTGAGGCTGCAAGGGAAAAAACGTCTGTGGTGGATCAGAGTGTGAAAAAATCCAAAAATATTTTCTTAACCACATCCTGATTACAATCCTGACATGGAAATATAAGAACCTCTTATAATAAAGGGTCAAATGTCCTCGCTGTGATTATAGTATTACCACATAAATTAAACGTTGTAAAGGTCTTTCAGAGAGCTGTAAGTATAATTTTCCTTTTCTGCTTGTCAGTCAGACTTCTAATGCTTATTAGTAGTTCATTGCTTGCCATATGACAAATCGTGTAAGAACAGCTGGGAAGCACCATTAACCAGCGCCATTAAATGACTGAAACCTCATGCTGTGGGAAAAGTACTATTTTTAATATCTACATCCATTAACATTTTTTCTGAATCTCATAAAGCAAATGCTACTTATTAGAGCTGGGTAATGTGCAATGCAACAGTAGAAATTTTACTATACAGTTTACATGCCTAATAGTGGGCAGGACTACTTATCAATATGTGATTAGGAAAATACAGAGTGGGACATTACAGAGCAATTAAAAACTCACTGTTTTGAGTGTATTGTTTTTAAGTCTTTGCACTGATCTCAGAATTATCATTTGTTATGAATAATCGTATCTTTTGATTTGCATAAATTTTCAAATAAAAGAAAATATGTACTATTTGCAAAATATTTAAATATTTAATTCATTAAATACAAAAAATTATTATTAAAAAATTAATAAAAATAAAATAAATAAATAATTGCATTAATAGTCAGTTTCTGTTTTTTTTTATTTGATAGTTTTTCAGAGACTATTTCTGCAGGTTACACCAGTTTGCCAGTATGAGATGAAAAGTGACTGTATGCGTGAGTAACTGAATCATTCATTCTAATGATTCTTTAAAAAACTGATCCATTCAGGAGTGAAGCAGGGGTGAGTCAGTGAATCATTCACTCAACCAATTCATTTAGAAAACTCTTGATTCATTCAGGAGCGAAACAAGTGATTGTCTTTATGAGTAAGTCAATAAATCATTCACTCAGATTATTTGTTCAGAAACCCTGAAACATTCAGTAACGCCACTTCTCTGTGTTCCAATGGTTCTGCAGTCGCTTTGTTTAGAACATTTGCCTTTGGTGAAAAAAAAGACTCAATATTACGTCTAAAATGTAACTTATTATTACATTCTTAATTATTGAACTGTTGTATAAAAGCAATATCACACTTGCAACCATGCTGTTTTTTGGGAACAACAGCACTCTTGCTCATGTGATATTGCACATCAGCAGTGAAAAAAAGACTTAAAACAGTGAAAATGCTATTTTAAAACTGATAGTATAAATGATATAAAATGAGTAATATTGTAATACAATATTCTGGTTATTTCATCCACCCCTAATACTTATTATTGTGGTTAAACGGGGAAACATCTTATACAGCCATTATTTTACCGCACCACAACATGCTATTGCAGCTGCAAGCAAGATTTCAAAACCAAGTCTAAAAATATCAGACAGTTGAAATGAAAGCGATGAGAACAAAAGACATTTCAAGTTCCCCTACATCCCAAAATAGATGTTACGAGACAAAAGCACTCCAGAATAGTCTGATTTGCCACTGTATCCCATGAGTTCCAGAATGGTCATTCGGTTTCGATGGGAACAGACGCCAATCTATTCTCTGTTCCAATATTGCAGTTACCCTTCTCCACAGGAGTAGGTGAGTCACACTGACAGTTTCTTCAAGGTGAGATTTTTTTGGATATCCTCTGTCATGGCTATAGGGCATGTGATGGTTGATAGAGTGGCTTCGGGCAAGAAACTTTTGTTCTATATTGAATCTTGCGACTACACAATCCCTCTTCAGCACTTTTCAATAGCTCCTGGCTTGACAAAGCTGGATACTTGACTCGAACATAAAACAAATTGAATGGGATTTTTCTTGTAATTTCATATTTATGACCTGAAATGGCCTCTGAGGTCTTCGAGAGCAACGTGTCAATATGTTGACTGACATTTCGCTTAGCTGAAGTCAGGATTATTTTACACACAGTCTCACATGTCATCTCACATAGTCAATTCTAAAACACAATCAGAAGCTTAAACTCAGGTGAAAAGCTGCAACGTCAAGAGAATAAGAAGTCTAGTAGGCCTATTAAAGCTTGGAAGAAGGTCTCTAACTGTTCTGGCCTATTTCTTTCCACTTACTAGGGATTACATGGTTTGTGAGCAATATTTGCTGCTCTGGTGGAAGAAGTCTGGCCTTTAGGATCACTTAGCAATATACAGCACCAAGGGCACATGAGCTCTGTTGAGGTCAAATGTCAGTCTTTGAGCATTTCTTATTCATACAAACCATTGAAAGTCAATAGCAAATCCAAACACTGCCTCTCCAGCTTTTATACACACACCTACTAGTCATACCACTACACACTGCAATTGAGATATCTATGAACTTTTCTTCTTCAACATCAAGATCTTAGGTTAAAATTTTTAGGAATTTTTAAGTGCATATTTCAGTTTCTGTAAATGGTTACCATTCTACAATTTGCAATTACCATTTGCTTCTTTGCAGGTTACTTAACGGTGGGTTTTTAAAAGTACACATATTTCAATTAAAATTACGCATGTGCATATGAATTATCATATTAAATTTATACACGCTTGCATATAAGCATATCCATTTTCAAAATGACCAATAATGCATGACCATCTCAAAACTCAAGGTTAGAGGCATAATGTCCAAATAATCCAACAAATAAACCATGGTGCCAAAGCACCCACCATTGCATGCACATGCATTCACTTCTCATATTGAGAAAAATACATGGCAGTACAATCACAACCCATAGGTTAATAAAACTGGCCGAGCAATCTAAAAATCAATGCACGTTGAGAAGGCAATGCAGCGGCATCAATGGATGGACCATGCGTTGCGCCTTCAGCACTGCGGAGAGCTCAACTCTGCGCAAAGCATGCCTCCATCCATGCGCTCGCGACGCACCACAGTCATTACTCACATGTGCACGGACGGTGCAAACCAATTCTGTTCCCTAAATGGATTTCATAAATCTCAAATCGTTATGAATGCACGCCGGTGCTTAAACCAACGTCCATGTGGATGTCAGTGTGCTTTGTCCACGCGCTGCATGGCTCCATCCTCGTGGATGGGGAAAAAAGTGGCATTTACATGAAAATGAGTTGAATGTACGTATAAAGACCCTTCACAGTTGCATAGATATGCGCACTATATACTTATGTCATGCACGTTTATCTGCCAGACACATTATGAGTCAATCACGCGCGTGCATTTATATATAATGCAGTAGAGCCGAGAGTCTGTGCAATGCCGAGGGGACTGAAAAAAACACTGATAGGACAGCTGTAGATCTATAATTCAAAGAGTCTCTCTTTGTATTAATCAGATCTTAAGTTCCTAGCATGTTTAGCTACATTGCACTTGGTCGCAAGAAGTAAACTGTATAGCATGAAAACATTAACATATTTCAACCACATGGTATTTTAAAATGCATATGCAATAGTATGCAGAGTTGCAATTATGCAAACTGCAATAAATGTTGTTTGTCGCGTCTTTCTAAGTTGAGTGCACACGCACGAGCGCACTGACGCGCGAAAAAAAAAAGTTGGACAAATTGCAAATACAGAGATAAAAGCAATTCACCTGCTGCCAGTTTTCCTCCAGAGACGGCATCGCAGAGAAGTAGCCAGTGTCATGAACAAGTTGAAGTTCTTGAAAAATACTGTAATTGGCCAGAACATCCATGTTTGTGCAGCTAAACGGTGCGTTTGAGAGACTTTGATTCTCTGCGCGAGGAATCCGCGTTCGATTCAGCGCGAGCGACTGAAACATTCAGATCAATCGCGAAATCCGAAACGTCTCAGTTCACTTACGGTCACTAACATATGTTTAAAAGTAAAGGATCCATCCATGCAGGTTTGTTTTCTTTCCTCACAATGTTTCTGGAAGGGGAGCAGCAGGAGCACCACAGTAGCTCACAGGTTACTGTGTCAGTCAGTGTGTGCGGAGCCAGCGTAGCGTCTGCGGATGCCCGCGATTCGAGGGGGCGTGTTTATCTGTCAATCAACTTCGTGCGTAACCATATAAGGGAAAAAGGGACGACAACTTTGGTGGCGATTCAGAAAGGCGGGGCTAAACTCGGATAGTGGGAGGAGTTCGATGCTGTTTTGGACCTCTGATTGGTTCTTTGACTTGTCACTCACAACATACATGCCTTTGAAAGCCGAGCTATTTTTAGACCGCTATAAAACACACGAATCAGCGTTCGAGTCTCATTCGAAGCAGGAGCTTCCAGAGAGCGGCAACGTGGTGGCTCAGGTCTGTTCAACACACTAAAGTGGTAAAAATACACGTTCAAAAATCTTGACAATTTAAACGTTTAAAGCAAACATATAAACAGTGCTGGCAATCTCACGGTTAAAACGGCTGTCACTGTTACTGTAGTAGTAAAAGAGGTTTGCAAATTGAATCCATATTTAATTTGATGTATAGGGCCCTATTCTCTCAAATGCTGTTTTAGCTGCAAAGTGAAGCGCACAAACAGACATAAGTACACGTATCTGTTTGATAAAAGTTAAAAGCGTCTGCAGAGTTCTGTCAGATAGATAAACAGCTCAATATGAACAGCTTTAAAATTCCCGCAAGGTAAAAACCATTAGGCCTACATAATATTCATGCATACCTATTCATATGTTTCTTCAAGATAGTTCAAAGACTAGCAAATGTCATGATAATTTTTTTGTAAATGCCATATGGCTTATCTATCTATCTATCTATCTATCTATCTATCTATCTAGCTATCTATCTGTATAGATAGTGTTGCTTCATATCTAACTATCTGTCTATCATGCACTCTGTAGCCCTGACTTTTGATTTGCTATGTGCCGCTTAACTCGTGTGTTATTTACATGGAAATCAGATGGCATATAAGCTTGAGTACCTCGTTGAACTATAGTACTCCTCAACCATCTCACAACATCCCTGACCTTGTGTCATGCATGTAATTAGATAAGTGGAACCTATAAACTGTGAGAGGCTCTGAAAGGAAAATCTTGACCAATCTGTTCGCTCTTTCACTTCAGCTGGAAAGAAAAGAGAGGGGAAAATCGTGGAATAGGCTTTAGTTGTTATGGCTCATTTGATTTGAATTATTCATATTCTTCACCAGATGATGCTTTGGCTCTTGGTGAGCATGTGTTATTTCTTTCATCTGGTACCTGCACTGTAGATGGAAGGAATGAAGTATGAATGAATTCATGAATTCACCTGTGAATCTACGACCTTAAAAAACACTCTGGAGCTGGAGGAGGTAAAGAACAAATGTGTTTCTCTCCTTTATAACAGTTTTCATCCAAGATGGTCTGAGACGCTGGGATTTTCCTCTGTGCTATTAAAACAGAAGGCTAGAGGACAAGGGGATTGTTCCATCAAAAGTGTGATATTGAGGTTTTAGTATGAACGTCCTCTAACTCGTCGATTTGACCGACCCATATGGATGTGAGATGGCATATGGTCCTTTGGAGATTATAAAGGATGCTTTTTATATGTTCTTCAATTCAGTGCTTTGGTGCTTCACAAAGTACTTCTAAAGAATTAAATGAAAAAAAAAAAAATCTTAGGAAGGTCAGGTTGTAAAAGAGACAGTGTCAAAAAAGTATGTTTTTAATGGGAATTAAAAAAAGTGTAATAGCATAATGCATAAATAGCGTAAATTAATTATTTGTATTCATGTTGATCCATGCAGTTTTTTTTTGTTATGCGATTTTCGATAAAAGGCTATAAGACACGTAAAACCATCAAGTATTTATGTTTTTTTTAAAAAGAAATATTGCATTTTGTAAGCATGACTTTCATCAAGTTGTCTTGGGGTTGTACCCTTTGACATCTGGCAAACTGACCTTGCTGAAAATGTCATAAAACGGACAAATAATCTGAATTTTTATTTAGCCTAGGTAACTTAACTTTCTTTAGAATTTCAGCCTTTTTAAATTATGTTTTTCTTCAGTTTTTTAATCATACTTTTTTACTTTCTCAAGAAAGTTTCACCATGTCTTCACAAAAAAATATTAAAATGAACTGAGAAACTGACATGTTCATCATCACTGAAGAGTTGTATTCATCATTGTCTGTAAATTGCATTTTTTAATGTATTTTTGAAAAATTTAGATTTACAAGATGAGCTTGATGACATATTTTTTTTTTATTCTACCTTGAGATCTTATTTTTAAGAGAGTGTGAGAAATTTGTCCCTCCTGTTATCTGAGCAAACATTCATCTCTGCTAAATCAACTGTGCATGTAAACTGCATGTTATGCAAATGTGTGGAAATGAGTTTGGAGACAGTTTGATTTGAGCGAGAGACTGGAGAGATAACGTAACTAGAAGAGTGACCGACTGTGAAAGACAGTTGGAAAGTGAGAAAGTGAGATAATTGTAATCTGTCTCAGTGTAAAGCCTACTTCTTTCTTCAGTGTGTGTGAAATGTAGCTGATTTGCTCTCTTTGTGTAAGCCAGGTTTATGTGTGCCTCCTCAGCCCACCCCTGTGCGTCCACAGTAGCAGCGAGTGCTGTAATCTCATTATTCTGCTCTGGGAGGCTGGCTGTTGGCCCTGGAACTACGATTTACACATGGCATTTCAACAGGGAGGGGAGGGCCTGCTATCGATGAAACGCCCTATGACATTTATCCATTTGACACATTCCCCTCTCTCTCTTTCTATTTCTAACTTATATGCACAAACACCAAATGTGTTTGCCATTTCACTTAATCTATAATGCAGCTATATAATGTTTATTGGCACTAGTTTTAGCAAGCATCATAGGGATTTCAACAAACTAAGAGTTAAATAGATATTTCACCCAAAAATGTAGAAGTCTTTCATCCTTTATTCATGTTGATGTAAAGAACCTTAATGACAGAAATATTACACATCTGGAAAAACTAAAGAAATAAGGGTGCTATATTTTTTGTGTTCCACAGAAGAAAGAGAACCATATATGGTATACAGGTTTGGAACAACTTGAGTAAATATGACAGAATTGTCATTTTTGGGTGAAAAATGCCTTTAAACCTAACATCAAATTAAAATAGACCCTAGTTTCTTTCTTAATGCACGTTTCTGGTCTGATTGTGCATGTTATTCTGAAAAAAACAAACAGTGGATCTTAACATCCATTACACACTAGAATTAAGTCAGTGACTGTTACACAGAAATAAAATCAATTCATAAACTTAAAATCGGCACAGAGTTGATGATTTTTTTTTAAATCGATGAAGGTGCTGCATGTCCTGAGTCACAGCAGCACTCATATTTTCTTCATAAAATGTAAAATTTTAGTTTTTAAATCGTAATCTGACTTGATTTATGTCTTATGCCACAGTAATGAGAAGTGAACTCGCATTGCCCTTACAGAAATTCTGCTTTTACCCTTCTGTGCACTGCACATCTCTGCAAGTCTTCTCCCTTCTTTTCCAAAAACGCTGTTGATTTTACATTAATATTAAAGCAGATGCACAGACTTTAAAGGATATCTAAACCGAAGAGCCAATTACCGTCACCGTACTGCTTCAGAAAACCTGTCATCTGACTTATCTCTACAATAAGTACATTCATATTGCCCTGATTTTATGGCAAAGGCCATAATGTGTCCGTAACCACACCGAGGCACTGACAAATACATTAATCTCCACTCTCCTGCATTTCGCTTGAACAATGTTGCTTATTGTTGGCATTGTGGGCCCAACATACATTGCAGCATGAATGGTTACTGTTTAGGATTATAGGATTTTTGTTTTGCTTTTTGCTGACTTCATTTTTTGTCTTTGTTGTTGTATGACTATGGCTTGTAGAATCTTTGTGTTATATGATCGTAACAATATATACAAATGTAATGATAACATTTAACATTGATAATTTATAATTTAACTGATACATTTTATATTATTTAGGATGCTATAGTAAAATCAATTCATAAACTTAAAATCGGCACAGAGTTGATGATTTTTTTTTAAATCGATGAAGGTGCTGCATGTCCTGAGTCACAGCAGCACTCATATTTTCTTCATAAAATGTAAAATTTTAGTTTTTAAATCGTAATCTGACTTGATTTATGTCTTATGCCAAAGTAATGAGAAGTGAACTCGCATTGCCCTCACACAAATTCTGCTTTTACCCTTCTGTGCACCGCACATCTCTGCAAGTCTTCTCTTTTCTTTTCCAAAAAGAGCTGTTGATTTTACATTAATATTAAAGCAGATGCACAGACTTTAAAGGATATCTAAACCGAAGAGCCAATTACCGTCACCGTACTGCTTCAGAAAACCTGTCATCTGACTTATCTCTACAATAAGTACATTCATATTGCCCTGATTTTATGGCAAAGGCCATAATGTGTCCGTAACCACACCGAGGCACTGACAAATACATTAATCTCCACTCTCCTGCATTTCGCTTCACTGCTGACATAGCTATTTACTGACAGTTAGTGGTATTACGGCATTAATAATGGAAAAGATGCCATCCACCACACCACCATGAAAAGGCTAATGGCAGCAAACTGCATATTTGGAGTTTTTCATCTTTCTTGTAATGCCACAGTGCAAGACACGAGAATCAAAAAGAATTTATGTGCATGAAATTAAATTTATTAGCTGCTAATGATGGACGTCATTTGAAAACACAACTAACACACGTATGATTTGCCATAGTATGTATAAGGATTTTTGTTTTGCTTTTTGCTGACTTCATTTTTTGTCTTTGTTGTTGTATGACTATGGCTTGTAGAATCTTTGTGTTATATGATCGTAACAATATATACAAATGTAATGATAACATTTAACATTGATAATTTATAATTTAACTGATACATTATATATTATTTAGGATGCTATAGTATTTAATTTATTATATAATTTTTAAAGATTATTTTTAATAATATTTTAATAATTTATTTAATTATATTCTGTAGTCTAT